GGCTGGGGGGGGGGGGGGGCATGCTACAATCCCTTCTCCACCATTATCTTCCTGGAATTTTGGGCACACACACACCTGGTGTGATCCTCAAGCCCCCAGGTGTGGGACTTTAACTGCAGTCAGCCATGTGAGAGTCCACTATGCTGCCTCCTGGCCCCCTAACATAGATTCTTAATCAGTTGTCTTAGTCTTTATTTTGTTGCTGTTATTCATGGCACTTACTGAAGTCACTGGGCCTCCAGGAGAGTTTCACCTAAATTTGATCCATTTGCTTCTTTGCAGTGTAGCATAACTTTCCCCCCTCATCCTCTGCTGTTTTCTGTAAACTTCAAGTTCCATCTATCAATAGAAGCTTACTCTAGAATAGTTCCAGTATTTTAGGTTAGACTATGTCTCTTAGTTGGGACCACCAAGTGACATGGTGGTTAAGGTGCTGGACTGCCACACAGTCAATCGTGGTTCAAGTCCCAGACCCAGCAGCTCAAAACTCACACCATAAGTACGCTCAAAATCCCAGGAAGAGAAGGAATTGCTACATGGCCATTCCCCCACCCCAAGGGGGGTGATTTCTCTCCCTTTCCCTCTCCCTCTCTCATCTCCAGCAAGCACATATGCCCTATGACAAAATCCTAAATTAAAAAAAGTAATATACGGGACCAGCAGTTAGCATATGGCTATGTCGCTGAATTCCCATGTAGTCCACCATGCTCAAGTCCTGGACCCAGTGACTTAAACTCACACTGGGCGTGTGTGTGCATGCCGAGATCCCGAGAGGAGAATGGAGGAGAAAGGATTGCAGCGGGGCTGTCCCCCCAGGGGGGTGATTTCTCGCTTTCTGTCTCTCCATCTCTCTGTCTCTCTGTCTCTGGTGAGCACACGCACCCTGTAGCGAAAAACCTCTCCAAAAAAATCCATGTATCTTAGGTGTTGTACATCTCACTGTATCATGGGGAGATATATCTTTTCGCCCCTGCCATTAGTAACCATGTTAAGGTTGACCACTCACTGGATTAGAATAACTGTCATCTGTGGTGTTACTTTGGCACTATACAAATGTCTAGTTTCATGTCAACCATATGCCTTAATAATCTTAACATCAGTTGATAATTTTTGCCTGAGTATTGGGCTTGGACATTTTTATAATCTTTCTTAATTTCCTGTTTCTTCTACATTATTAGCTGGCATTTTTTCTGAAAGAGTCCCACAGGAAAAATATGATTACTTTGAAACACTGGTTCTATCCAAAAGGCAGGATATAGACTTAACTTTTTCTCCATAGTTACCAATTTTTAGTGTAAAATCAAAACTATGATAAATCAAATATAAGGTTTTTTCCCTTGACTTTTTATTCTCTTAGTAGAAGACTTATGAGTTTTCATTAAAGTTTTTTAAGCCAGTGATTGAAGTATTTGCCTCACTACAGTTGTCATTCATTTTCATGCTCAAATTATTACTCCTTTGGCCTATGAGGCCTCTTCAAGACAATGACTTTGTCCTTTTGATACAGACCCATTGATTTTTAATTACTTTTTTAAAAATTACATTTAATCACTGCACATCTTTACAGTGCAAAACAATTGTTTTATCCAGGATGAATACAGTGCAACATTTAAACTCAACAGTAGTATGATGAATACCATGCTGTATATCTTACCTAGATTACTAGTCGTTGACATTTTACTCCATTTATTTTATTTCTTCCACTTCCTTTTTTTTTTTTTTTTTTTTTTGAGAGCTTTTTGCTATAGGGCACGTGTGCTCACCAGAAAGAGAGAGAGAGAGAGATAGAAAGCGATAACCCCCCCATGGGGGATGGCCACGCCACAATCCCTTCTCCTCCATTCTCCTCTCGGGATCTTGGGCATGCATGCACGTGTGCCCCAGCATGAGTTTAAGCCTCCGGATCCAGGACTCAAACCACGGTTGACTACATGGGAGTTCAGCAACATAGCCATTATACTAACTGCTGGTCTCTCTTTCACTTTATTTTTGGGAGCTAAACCATTTGAAATTAGTTGCTGATAAGGTGATACTTTTTTGGAGAAGTTTTTGCTATAGGGCACATGCACTCACCAAAGAGACAGAAAGCAAGAAATCACACCCCACCCCCCCAATTCCCCCGAGAGGAGATGGCCATGCTGCAGTCCCTTCTCCATCTTCCTCTTGGGATCTTGGGCACACACACACACACGCACCTGGTGTGAGTTTAAGCCACCAGATCCAGGACTCGAACTGCAGTCAACCACATGGGAGTACAGTGATATAGCCATTATGCCATCTGCTGGTCCCTGATAACGTGATACTTCTAGGAGACATACTTCAGCATGTCTAAAACCAAATATTCCCTTACTGTTAACAGTAATACTTGATGTATATTTCATATTCAAGTACCCCAATTGTTCTAATTATGTATTGATAGGATAGGGAGAATGTTTCAATCCCAGATTCAATGAGCATCACCTATTGCATTTGATTGTTATGTCTCTTCATTTTTATGACATTTCAATGTTTTAAAGATTCCAGGCCAGATGTCTTATAGAATGTCCCACAGTTTAATTTTGTGTTGCTCCCTTACATTTAAACTAGTTCCGGTTAAATGTTTTTGGCAAAAAGTACATGGGTGATGTTTGCTTTTGTTATATCACATCAGGAGACATAATAACACTTTGTTCCATTAATGGTGATACTAAATTTGATTATATACTTAAGGGTGGTATCTGTTGGATTTCAACTTTGTAATTGATAATTTGTCTGAAAGGATAACCCGAGATCTTCTGAAGGTAGTGTGAATATTCTGCTCAGTGAATATTCTGCACCCTGACCTTTTAACTTAGTTTTTTGCCTTTGTTGGTGATTTTAGCCTCTGTCACTTACATTGCTAGTTACAAAGTGATCATTTTATGATTTTGTTGTTCTTGTTCATCAGCTGGCATTCTTGTGTAGAAAAGAACTCCAATCCCCACTTTTATATCCCCATGGATGCAGGTTTTGTTTTGTTTGGCTTGGTTTTTATTCAAGGTGTTACAACCATTACTGTCATTATTCTTTTTGATATTGAAATTGGGCCTTCGTTAATGTTCTCAATTTTTCCCCCATTAATTTTTGAAATACTGAGGTTTCCTGGGTTCACCTTGTACCTTCCATGCCTATTCCTAGGACTAGTTGTTCTGATGAAACTTGGTTCCTTTTAGTGTGGGATGGTGTCAGATCAACATTTGGGCACTTGGGGATATACACATATAGACATAAAAACAGAGCTGCTCTGGTTTTAATGGAAACCTCCTTGGTCTCTCGCATAGTTTATTACACTTAGAAATCACAGCACATCCCCAGCTGCAGCCCCCATGGCACTTCTACCAAACCCTAGGAAACTCTACAGAGTATCGTTTAAAGTCTACAGACTTAAAACTATTATCATACTTCTTTGAGCTTTTAAGATTTGGAAACTAAATGCTGCTGTTTCTTTTACACAGCCTGGGTATGTCTGAGGCGTGGCTTCCTAACTTAACATGTGATCGATCATCCAGGATACATTCTGGACGATCAAGATTTTTTTCCTCACATGCTTACCACAACCCATGAAATAGAGCATTGATTTAACCCTGTTTTGGGAAGGAAGTTCCTCGAATACCTTTAAGTCAAATTTTTCATGTTCTGAGTAATAAATATCAATTCTGAGACCTTGTACTCCCTTCTTTTCTTAGTAGATTCTGTTATAGAAACTTTAGTGGCATTTACAGGATAGACACCTGGTATTTCTTTACTCAGTCCATCTCTGTATCTTCCTTTATCTCAGTCCCAACATGGCCAATACAGTCAATGCTGCTCTGAAGCCTTTAGAAACACTTTCCCGGATTGTGAACCAGCCCAGTAGCCTTTTTGGCAGCAAGAGTGCTTCTAACAAGAGCAAGTCGGAGCAGGATGCCCAAGGAGCCTCTCAGGACTCCAATAGCAACCAGCAAGACCCAGGTAGGGAATCAGCCAATAGACTGGGCAGCTGGCAGGGTGGGAATAGTTGCTTTATGGGCATGGGATCATAACTTGTTCTGGCTTGGTTTTGTTTCCCTGGGAACTTGCTGGCCTTCCAGAGATCTATCATAGTGGCATGGAAATCTGCCCCACAAAGAATTCCTTCAAATTGCAGCCTTATTTGGCTATCCTCACACGTAGCCTTGTCTTTTCCTTTGTCACCCATTCGTTTATTCTCTGAGAACTTGTAAACTTGCCCAAGGAAGGGACCTTATTGTCATCGTACTTGCCTCCCCAGCACCTAGGCACCCTTTGATTATTTTGCTGGTTGGTTGATTGTTTCAGGCGAGCCTGGGGAAGCAGAAGTACAGGAGGAGGATCATGATGTCACTCAGACAGAGGTGGCAGATGGGGATATCATGGATGGGGAGGCTGAAACCGACTCAGTGGTGATTGCTGGGCAGCCTGAGGTGCTCAGTTCACAAGAGATGCAGGTAGGGAGGCAGTTCACCCAGCATTCTTCTGTTGCAACGCTGAACCAAACCCCCAGGTGGTGTGGGTGGGTGAGTACTTGAGATCCTTGCCTCAACGCTGTCTGTTTTTCAAAGGAGCACAGATGATATGCTTAGTAGATACTCAGTAAATGTGTTTGAGTTATATTAAAAGAGCTGTGGGAGCAGAGCCAGGATGTCATATATTATGAAATGGTATACATTCCAACCAGAAAACTTAGGCGTAGGTGAAATGGTGAAATAGAAAGCTGCCCTGGGGCCTTTGGGCCCAGGGTTTTTGATTTCCTCTACTCTGGTCATTAATGGAAGCTCCTTAACATTACCTATGTCTATAGCACCAGCTCTCACTGGGGCATTAAAATGGTAAAGACCCTAAAAAGGGCATTGTAATTCTTGGAGCTGGCAGCAGTGAGTAAGAAATTGGGCCTACAGTCCTAAGCTGCTGATTCCAAGGAGATCTGCATGTATTCCTGCGTAGTGTAAAGACTAACCTGGGATAGACCCATTTGAAGGACAGTCTTGAGTATGGATTGGTAGCATGTGGTAGTTTCTGTGCTGTTAGCACCAAGTATGTGGTTTTTATGTCACACATTATCCTAGAAATGTATGCTCCCTTGCCGGCTTATTTTTAGGGTTTCAGTGTTAGCACAATGATAGATCTGTGTGCATCCATATATATGTTCTATTTCTCTCCAGGTTGAGAATGAGCTGGAGGACCTGATAGATGAGTTGCTTGAGAGGGATGGCGGATCTGGGAACAGTACAATTATAGGTGAGAGCCCCAGAACTGAGTATAGCCTCTTCCTTTGCCTCAATCTCTCTTGGGAGGACCCTTTTTCTCATCATCTGCTTGCTCAGCTCTGTCTAAGGGCTCATAGCCAACCTAGATTGCTATTTGTCTTGATGTTGACGGTCTTATAGATAAGAAATTCACATGCCATCTACAGTCCTATAGCAGGTCTGAAGTGTTGCCTATGTGGGGGAGGTTTGGGGGTGACCATCAGTATAGGTGATACATCAGGCACATCAAAAGAGTATTTATTCATGGAGGCCTAGAGGCTGTAGAGTGAGAAAGTACGTTCCTTTCAGTTCTTTAGGGAAATCCAGGGGCTTTTTGCCTCTGAGTCTCAGTAGTATAAAAAGAGTGATCATTCCCTAAGGGTGGCTCTTTTTAATTCTCAAAAGGAGAATAACCAAGGTACCCTACTGTCACTGGCTCTGACGGTGTATGTGTTGTTTTTATTTTATTGCTCAAGGAAATAAAAAAGATAAATGGAAGTAGACATGTATTCTTAAGTTCCGCAAAGCTTTTTCACACTCAGTATCCTTTGTGATTTCACAATAAGTGGGATTGGCAGAGCAGATATGATCATCCCATTTTACAGATGAGGAAACTGAGACTCAGACAGGTAAAGTGACTGGCCAAGCTCACCTAGCTAGTTGACAGCAGAGAATCCAGATCTTCTCCCTCATCAAAAACAAAAAATGGATATCTCCTAGCTATACATAACTACTTTAGGCGCACTCAATCTGGAAAGGGAAGTCCTCTGTTGTTCAGTGAAGGCTCTGCTCTGTAACCTTCAGTGAGCAGAAGTGGAGAGGATGAATCACAAGAGGACGTGCTGATGGATGAAGCTCCTTCCAACCTCAGCCAAGCTTCCACCTTGCAGGCCAACCGAGAAGGTGAGAGTGCCGAGGCCAGAAAGGCCTCCCTTCTTGCCCTGCACGTCTGACAGACACCACACTAGGGTTTTCCTGGGGCAGCTGCCCATATGTGCAGAATAAGGAAGCATCTGTCTGCATGCGCTGACATACACCATCCACTGTATCCTCAGCCAGTTTTACAAATAACATGTTACTACTGCTTGCCCAAAGTTTGTCACTTCTTACTTGGTTCGCTTTCTTGTCACCCACCTGCTATCATCGCTCCAGATTCCCTCTTACCAACAGGATCCAGTCAGCAGCAACATAGGGCTGGAAAGACAAGGGGGCACCAGCAGACTTGGCCAAGTCATAGACCATGGCTCCTCAAGTACCACCCTATAGCCAGCCTCCACATTCAGCTACCCTGCTCAGAGTGTGATGCATTGATTGGCGCTCTCAGGAAATTGGGGCTGACTCACTAAGTCTGTACATCACCCCAGATCTGATTCTTCCTCTCCTAGAGTCAGATACCCCATCGCCTTCCCACTCAAATCTGCCGGCCTGCACAGCAGCCTGTTTTGTAGCTACTCAGTGTAGTCCTCCAATGTGCTCCCTTTGTTTTAGATTCCATGAATATCCTGGACCCTGAGGATGAGGAGGAGCACACTCAGGAAGAGGACAGCAGTGGCAGTAACGAGGATGAGGATGATAGTCAGGATGAAGAGGAGGAGGAGGAGGAAGATGAGGAAGATGATCAGGTGAGGGGGGACTGTGTTTGGGTTGGTTCAGATGACCTCTTCCGTGGGAACACAGCTGCAGAAAACCAACAGTCTGGGTTACTAGCTTCAGCGCCTCCCTCCCTCGTGCACGTGTGGCCATGACACCAAGCTTCAGAAAACCCTTACCTCCAGCAATTCTCCATCTCCTATTTTCCCTTAAGGAGGATGATGAAGGTGAAGAGGGAGATGAAGACGATGACGACGATGGCTCTGAGATGGAATTGGATGAGGATTACCCTGATATGAACGCTTCTCCCTTGGTCCGATTTGAGCGCTTTGACCGGGAGGATGATCTCATCATTGAGTTTGACAACATGTTCTCCAGTGCTAGTAAGATTACAGGGGCTCAGCTGGGTTTTTATCTCTTGATTCTTATACCCTTCTTTAGGGTGAGCCAAGCTGTGAACCAAAATACCTATCGATCTGATTCAAATAACACTTCTTTTCCTATGCTGACTTCCCAGGGCAAGGGATATCTGTATCCATCTCTCAGTTGTGTATATTAGAAGAAGGAAAAATTAAGAGGCTGCTTTTGTTCTCTCCACCTCAGTAAAAAGGCAGCCATTTTATAGCCTGGACAACTTGATGATTTTCTTGATTTAAAAAATGAGACCAAGTTGACTGCATTGGGCACCCATCCGTGTGCACGCCTCAGTGACAGAGCAATCAATAATCCTAATGTCCATAACACTGGATCTTGAGGGTTTGGATGGACGCCTTTGAGCTTTGGCTTTGGGGAGTAATTTGAACATAGTCACTCTGTTCACCAAGGGTGCGTCTTTTCAGGGGGTGGTGAATCTTTTTCCTTTTGCTCCATCAACATCAAAGTTCCCTTGTAGCATCAAGTTAAAGAGTCGAGTTCTTTGAATCAAACTGACTTGACAGGGCAGGTCTTGACCTAAAATCACAAGCATGATACATAGCCAAAAGCACTATACTGTTCTGGTCTGTTGTCTTGGCCAAGTAAGCTCTTACCTCTTTGAGCCTCAGTTTATCACCTGTAAATGAAAAGTTTGAAAAGAAAAAAAAAAGCCAGGTTGGATTAGATCATTTTCAAGAGATCTTCTAGTCTGTTATAATTCTCTTTGCATTTTTGTAATTTTCATCAGTCTTCCTTGTAGTTGATCCTCTATCCATTCAGCAAGCTGTGAATACATATTCAAGGAATGCTTATTGTGTCCTAGGTAGTAGGGATATAGCAATAAAGAAGAGAATAGTCCATGTCCCTCACAGAAGCTTAAGGTCTATTAGGTATTATAAGTAAACAGGCATTACATTGTAGTATTAAAGCACAGAGTAAAAGTTATCTAAACCAGTCTGTAGAAGTCAGGCTTCACAGAGGAAGTGACATCTTATGCCAAGAACGAAAGATCAGGTGAAAAAGAGGGAGAGGAATCTTCAAGATGGAGAGAGCAGCATGTGTCTGAGGGGCCTAGAAGCATCACTGTGGCTATGGTGTGGAGAGTGGATTGGGAGAAGGTACCATTTAGGAGGTTGTTGTATGATCTAAGTGAAAGATGATGTATATAAGTTATGGTAATGTCAGTGATTGTAGATTAGGTGTGGGAATGAGGGAGAAAGGACAAAGCTCAGGTTTCCGTGTGAGGAAGTAAGGCCCAGGAGACATGGTTCTGCTTGAATAACAATGGAAGAAAATTATTTTGGGCACTAACCCCTTTGTATATTGTCCTTGCAGCAGACATCCCCCCATCCCCAGGAAATATCCCTACCACCCATCCACTGATGGTACGCCATGCAGACCATAGTTCTCTGACACTGGGCAGTGGCTCCTCTACAACTCGTCTCACCCAGGGCATCGGGCGCAGTCAGAGGACCCTCAGGCAGCTGACAGCCAACACAGGCCACACCATTCATGTTCACTACCCCGGTAATCGCCAGCCCAACCCTCCTCTTATACTCCAGAGGTGAGTTACAAAGATCTCTTAGGTTCACTGGAGCTCTTGTAAGAATCTGCAGTGGGGGACCAGCAGATGGCATAATAGTTAGGTTACTAGACTCTGATGTGGTCTACCATGGTTCAAGTCCCAGACCCAGTGGTTTAAACCTCACACCAGGTGCATGTGCATGAGTGCCCAAGATCCTAAGAGGAGAATGGAGGAGAAGGGATTGCAACATGGCCATCCCATTGGTGGGGAGTGACTTCGCTTTCTGTCTTTTTCTCTCTCTTTGTTTCTGGCAACTGTACATACCCTATACCAAAAATCTCTCAATCTGCAGTGAGCTTTCGTACTGTGTTGACCTTGGGACTTTTGGTTCCCAACCTTATACTGTTGTCACACATGCAAATAAGGTATCTATTAAGTGTCTTGCATATACCAAGTACTTACCCTGCCCTCTGGCTTAGGGTTTAGTGGGAGAAACAATTCTTAAGAAGTAAAAGAAGAAGCCAGCAAATGGTGTGCCAGTTGCATCGCTGGACTCCCATATGGCCAACCATGGTTCAGGTTCCAGACTCAGTGACTTGAAATACACTGGGTACATGTGTGTGTGTGCCCAAGATCCCTGGAGGAAAAGGGATGGTGGTGTGGTCATCCCCCACCCAGGGCTGATTTTTCACTTTCCCTCTCACTGTCTGTCTGTCTGTCTATCTGTCTCTGTCTCTGTCTCTCTCTGTCTCTCTCTCTCTCCCCTCCAAACACACACACCCTAAGGCAAAATCCTCTTAAAAAAATAAAAGTAACAGAAAGGCATGTAAGTATTGTGATGGTAATGCACAGAGTATAGAAAGGTTAACAACAGAGGCATTGTACACAAACACAGTGCCTGGCTCGTGGAAGCTTATCAGTGATACTCGCTTTGTGCCAGGAACCATGTAATGATATATGACCTCAGCACAGATACTGTTCTTTAACTGGTATGGTAGTTAGAAAAGTAACTAAAGACATACGTGCAGTGCGATAAGGTCTATAATCATGTTATACTTAATCAAGAAAGAGGGGTCTCATGGTAACAGGTTGCAGGGTACCTGTGGACGTACAATGATCATGGTATCCACCATCACCCTACAGGTTGCTTGGTCCCTCGGCTGCTGCTGACATCCTTCAACTGAGCAGCAGCCTGCCTCTACAGAGCCGAGGCCGTGCTCGCCTTCTGGTGGGCAATGATGACGTCCATATCATCGCCCGGTCTGATGATGAGTTGCTGGATGACTTTTTCCATGATCAGAGCACAGCTACCAGCCAAGCAGGCAAGTTTGTATGGAAAAAACTCTACACAAAAAGGTAGAGTTTGTCAGATTTTACATATTTCC